TCTCTCTCTCTCTCTCTCTCTCTCTCTCTCTCTCTTGCACTTGCCTACCTGAAATTCTCGGAAGACACGGAGCAGGAGCCTCCTGCTTCTGCCTCTCTCTCTCCCCCTGCGTCTGGATGTCCGGGCTGGACATCCGGTCCGGTTGGTCCGGATTTTTTTATTTCTTATTTTGGTTTGTTCATGGCACACCCCCCAAGAAATCGTTTTGGGATTTTCTGACAATTTTCTGGCCCTTTCAGAAAGCCAAAGAGGACCGGGTTGAGACTGATTCTGAGAGAGAGAGAGAGAGAGAGAGAGAGAGAGAGAGAGAGAGAGAGAGAGAGAGAGAGAGAGAGAGAGAGAGGTGCACAGGCTGGATGCTGCCTTTAGGTAGGTAGGGTCTAATTCACTCCCTGTCTGTAAACCTTCTGTGACCTTTTCTTTTCTTTTCCTTTCTTCTCTGTTTTCTTCTTCTTCTTCTTCTTCTTCTTTTTTTTTGTCTAGATTTTTTTTCCGGACATCAGTCCGGCCAGACGTCATGCTCTGTCCGCATCCGGGTCCGGGGTAACCATGAGAAGAAGCCCCTCCTGTTTAGTATGTAATATGTAATATTTTTCATTAGATGTTGTTTAGTATGTGACATTGGTCATGTTTTGACACTCTTTTCTGTCCCCTGTGATTTTTATGTGCTCTGTTTTATAAAACAGGTACCTGTGTGAATGTTGGTTGCATTCCAAAACTGCTGATGCATCATGTTGGACTCCTAGGCGAGACACTTGTCGACGCTGAAGAAGCAGGCTGGAAAGTCAAAGTGGGTGGTCATGACTGGTGAGTCTTGCTGAGTGATTTCTTCACTCGGGATATAAGTATACTAGTAATTACTAATTACTTAGACTACCGCAGTGGGGCCCCGGACCACTTGCCTGGCCGGACGAAAAATAAAATAGAATAGTAATCATAATTTTATTTCTAGGCTACCAGCTGGGCCGCTCGGGTCACCTTGTTGGTCCTTGCCGTGCAAGGACCAAAGAAGGTCCCAGCGAAAAAACAAAATTCCAAAAAATGCGAAAAAAAAAATGTTATGCAGAAAAATACACTGAACAACTTTTGCCTCAGGGTCACATCGATTATTTTTACCAATGAAGAAAATAAAAATAAAAAAAGATTTGTTAAGAAAATAAAAAATAAAAATTACAATTAATAAATTCAAAATATTTTTTCAAATTTTTTTTTTTTTTTTTTTGGGGGCCCAGCTGGGCAAGCGGTTTCCGGCCACTCTGGTTGGTAGCCTAGTTTTATTTTTTATTTTAAATTTGGTGAAGTATTTTGATGTGACCTTGAGTCAAAAGTTGTTTAGTTTATTTTTCTGCATGACATAGTTTGTTTCCCGGATTTTTTTGTTTGTTTGTTTGTTTTTCCTGGAACCTTCCCGGGTCCTTGGGCGGCCGGGCCGTCCGGGAAACCAAGGTGACCCGGGCAGCGCGGCTGGTAGCGTAGGTAATTACAGATTAGTGATTACTAGTTTTCTAAAAAAGTTCGTTGTTTTATGAAAATGGGTGCAACCTGAAATTAATCTTTCAGTCTTTCTTCTTTCGATTCGCCATTTGATACTTTTGAGACACTTTGAAGAGCAGCAAAGGATAGGGACAACCTAGCGTCTTCACTCGAATAAAACAGCCGATCATTATCGCTGCATCTGGTCGGAAAGTTGCCCCAAATACAGCTGTAATGACCGGGCGAAGACGGTAGTCTGTTGAATGCTGTTCATCTCCAGGAGCACGGTTCCACTAGCAAACGAGTCATGGACTATTATGACTTGTGCGGCAGGTTGTGAAAAGAAAAATAAGTACTTTAAAGACTTAAAAAAAAAAAAAAATGGCGACGTAACATTCCCCAGATGGGAAGGAGGTGGACGTTTGAAAGTGCTACAAAAGTCAGCCGTCTTCTTGAACAGGAGAATCGACAGCTGCCGTTTTGAGGCACCTCTGTGGCGACTGAATCTGAACGTCTTTGTGTGGAAGTTCGTTCAATTGCTTCTATGCATCGGTGCCAGAACATGTCCAGATTCAAGCGATTGCAATCGTTTCGGATGGTTCGGGCACATGATCTCCTACCCTCCCATGCCCTCTCCCCTCTCTCCTCCCCCCCCCCCAATGATGACAGAGACGATTCACTGCTTGACTGCCCCCGCTGAGAGAGAAGTCCTACGCGACGGTTGCAGTGAGGGAGTCCGTTAGTGTGACGGACGGGACTCGCTAGTGACGGTATCGTTCTAGAAAGGAGCAGATTTTTCTACTTTGCTATCGAAAATGGAGTACTCGAGGGGCTTGCTATTGACTGGAAAAAAAGCACGGTCAATACCAACGTCTTTGAGTGCTTGATTTTGTTTTTTGGTTTTCGACAGCCGCCAATCAGAAAGAGACTTGCTATTTCTCTTTTCCACATCCTGTTATTCACCCAAAAAAAAAAGACAAGAAAAAAATAAATTAAAACATAACTTTGAAATATACAAACATCTTGATTTTGCTGCCTCGGATCTCGATGCATCAACCGCTGGCGGATGTCCCACAGACGTCCCACAGGTGTCGCCGTGGGACTTTTTACCTTACTCGTTTGCTAGTGGAACCGTGCCCCAGGTGATGGCTTTGCTTTGCTGTTCGGTTTAAGTCGTGACCGCTGGTTGGGGTGAGTTGGGACTGGGGTTTGGTGTTTGGGTGAGTTGGCACTGTGTGGGTGGATTTGTGTGTGTATGTAACTTCTTCTGTGTTTCCTCAACCATGTTTTTTTGTTTTTCTTTCTTTCTTTTTTCTTCTCTTAACCATGTTTCATCCTGTGAATATCTAATCCTTGTTCCCCCCCCCCCCCCCCCCCCCCCCCAATAGAAAAGGTGCTGTAGAACCAAACCTATGGTTACTGCATTGAGTCAATTTGAGTGGGATTTGATCTCATGATCTGTTTGTGGACGGTTACACTTCTATGCCACCATCCCCGCCAGGCCAAATATATATCAATATATAAACAGTTTTACCGCAGCCCCTCGTTTGTTGTCCTCTTCTCCCTCTCTGCCTACGGTTTACCGGGCAGTTCTGTTCCTTGCACGGTCGGGCTTCCCAGGAAAACAAGGTGACCTAGGCCCCCCCCGGCTGGTAGCCTAGTATATTAGTATATTGAATACTATATTCTGTTCTTTATGTTGTTTATATATTCTGCTCTCGTTTACCAAAACTAATTGAATTTATGGCCTTCGCAAAGAATATGATTTTTTGAGTTTCTCTGTTTTTGAATTTTACTTTTTTTCAAACTTTTTTTAATGATTTTTTTTTTTTTTTTTTTTTTTTTAATTTCTAGTGTGGTAATTTGTAAATGGTCCTGCAATTGGTGATTTTTTTTTTTTGCAGGGGCAAGATGGTTCAGGTTGTTCAAGACTACATTGGCTCGCTCAATTGGGGCTATAGAATTGCTTTGCGCGATGAGAAGATCGATTACATCAACGCATACGGGCGATTTACGAACCCCCACACACTCGAGTGCAAGGACAGAAGGGGAAAGGTAAAGCCTCTTTTTTTTTGTTGAGGGCATACATGGCTGTATCGAACCGGAAACACAGCTTGTATACATGAAGTATAGGGGTGCCTTATTTTCGGGGGGGGGGGGGGGGGGGGGGGGGGGGGGGGTGGTAGTGTTATGAACTTGGTTGTCTGACAAATTTTCTCGCCACTCACACACAGACAGTCTCATACATGCCCATACATGCACAAGAGATAGGGAGAGAGGAGACAGATAAACAGCGGAAGACAATTATGCACAGCAGGGGAGAAGACACAGTGTGTTTCTCACTCTTTGACACAACTCCCAACAACCAATCACAAGAAAGAACCTGCGAAGATCACAATTGAAACTGTCACTGATGATGAACCACTCACACAATTATCGTAACAGAGTTTGTACCAGTATCTCGCCACACTCAGAACTCACACCCCACTCTCTATCCTACACCCAGTTAGTAGCGCTGSATCAGAACAGCCTCCCAGAGGCCAGCGCCAACCACCCTGATGAAGAACAGGTCCTGTGATGAAGTCTTCAGTGCCGATGGACAACTCTGACGAAGGAACAGGCAGCGATGGCTGCCACCACCCACGAATCACCACTGTAGAGCCTCTATACAGCCCGGCCATACGCAGATACCCCCAGGGGTAGGTGCGCTGAGAGTGCCCCAGCTATGGCAAGCTCAGAGAGGGCCGGCTATGGCTGCTGTTGCGGTCCGTCACAGGATGCCGCCGGTAGACRGGTACCGCTTCCAACTCGCTTGGCTTCTCCAACGCTGCTCGCGAGGAATGAACTGCCAAAAGTCCTGAACCGGTGAGCCTAACCTATCTATAGACTCCCTAGACCTAGACCGGACTGACTGACCGACCGGTACCGTCGCTGTTTCGGCCTCTCGGYCTCTACCGGACCCGGCTATAGGCTATAGGACTGTCTAGCAGCATAGGCCGCTGAGGGCCTGTCTGTCCTAGGGGTAGCCCAGGCCTGCTATCAGCAGTTAGGGTAGCTGTAGGAATTCGGGTTAGTAGTGGGCCTATATTTTCCCAGATTTACAGATCTGTCCCTCAAGAATTTCCCTACAGGCAGGTCTCTCGGTTAGCCCTCAGCCAAACAAAATCACGAATCTAACGTACCAGGTTAGTGTACAGCCTCGCGGTTAATCTCGGCAGCGGAAATCAGCAAGTCATTGCAGGCTTACCCTCCCCGGGAGCGAGGACCTCCGAGCTAGGGGTGCAGACGAGGCGAACGGCGAAGGTCACCCTTCTGAGCTGCCTTATAGCGCAGTACAACAGACTTCGCTGTCTTGATCAGGTCTCTTCTGTAGAACCATCGGTTCTCAGAAGGGGGCTGGAAAGCGAACCTGACAAGATACTGCCGTTCGGGGCTTGTGCCCCATTCATCCTCAATGGCCACCACATCATATCCCTTACCAGGGATTGGTGGGCCCCATTGAGGGGGCCGGTCAGGGAATGCATCAACTGGCATAAAAGGTAGCAGCTTGGACGCATGGAAGACCGGATAGGTACGTAGATGCAGCGGGACGTCGATAACATACGACGGGCCGAAAGGATCAGCACCCATTGTATCTAGGACCTGCCACGGACCCAAGTAGCGTGGCAACAACTTGAGGGAGATATCCTCCTCCCTCGACAACTCTGAATTGGCCACCCAGACATGATCACCAGTACGGATGGGGGAAGGCCGCCTGTGGCGATTGGCTTGTTCAATCATGGCCTTTTGGGCCTTGAACAAGTTTGGGCGGGCTCTTTCCACATCCAGACGATAGCGTCTGGCGAACTCTGCGGTGCCTGGCGTCAGATCAGTCTTAGCCTTGTGGATGATATCATCGAGAGGCTGGCGTGGTTCACGTCCCCAGTGTAACCGGTAGGGACTGAACCCTGTCGAGGAGTGGACAGACATGTTATACATGAGCTGTGCCCTCGCTAAGTGAAGATCCCAGTCCTGTTGATCTGGAGAGATGACAGGACGCAGCAGCTGGAACAAGACTTGGTTCATCACTTCAGCCAAACCATTGGCTTCAGGATGGTGACCAGAAGTCATGTCAGTCGTGAGTGCAGGTAGTCCTTGCAATAGGACCGCCACTCATCGCTGCAAAATCTGGGGTCTCGATCATTGACAATGGAGGTGGGAGGTCCATGGTGTGTGACCCACCTCTCAAAGAAGGCTGCTCTCACAGCCGGTACCCTAGCTACCTCTGGCAAGGGGATGAACTCTGCGTATTTGGAGAACGTGTTCACGCAGACCATAACCTGATGCATGCCCCGAGGGGTGGTCTTGCCTAAATCTGTGAAGTCTATCGACACAGATTGGGCAGGGCCATCAGGTATGGGTAGAGGTTTGAGCAGTCCCAAAGGAGGTTTACGCTGAACCTTGTTCCTTTGGCAAAGCTCACAGGTGTCCACATAACGCAGCATATCACTCCGCATCTCCTTCCAGAAGAAACGCTGCGACAGGGCTGTATAAGACTTTAGGAACCCGAAATGTCCACGGGCATCATGACACTCTGATATCAGCAGTGTCCTGAGCCGCTGGTCCTGAGGAATGCACAAGCGCTCCTCCCCTCTGTTGTGAGTATACAGCAGGTCTGAACTCAGAGCATAGCCTGGTTCAGAGTTAGGATCTGCTTGCAGATTCCTGACTATGGGTCCGAAAGTTTCGTCCTGAGGCAGTAGACGAGCAATGGTCTGACGGGTCTCCTCTCCAAAGGAGTGAGTAGAGGAGATCAGCGCAAAAGAGTCAGGCCTATGAGAGAGGGCATCTGCTACCTTATTGTAGCAGTACTTCTTGTGCTTCAGTTCAAAGTCAAACATGTTAATGAACTGAATGTACCGTATCAACTTACCATTCAACTCTCATTGGGACTTCATCCACTGCAGGGTGGAGTGATTTGAAAAGATCTTGAAGTGCCTGCCCAGGAGGAAGTGCTTCCAATGTTTCAGGGCACAGACAAGAGCATACAACTCTTTCTCGTAGGTAGAGTTCTGGAGCTTTTGAGTCTTGATCTTCTTACTCATAAACTCTACAGGCCGTAGACCATTCCCATCATCATGCTGAAGCACTGCCCCAATGCCATACTGACTGGCGTCAGTGGTCAGGATAAATGGCAAAGTGGGGTCAGGTAACTTAGAACAGGCGCGCGAGTCAAGGCCTTCTTGAGTCGTGTGAAGGCCAGCTGACAGTGGAGGGACCAAAGAAAGGGAGTGTCCTTCTTTGTTAGGTTAGTCAGGGGTGCAGCCACTGCAGAAAAGTTTCTGACAAACTTTCTGTAGTAGGAGGCCAAACCCATGAAGGACCGGACATCCCTCACTGTCTGAGGCTGAGGCCACTCCTGAATAGCAGCAATCTTGGCTGCTTCAGGAGCCAGACCATCTCCAGAGATTACATGACCCAGATAGATGACAGAGGGAACTCCAAAGGAGGACTTCTCTCAATTAATCTTATACTGGCTGTCACGCAACGACTGAAGAACTAGAGCCAAGTGCTCCGCATGTTCCCTGGCAGTTTTGCTGAATACCAGGATGTCATCCAGGTAGACAACCATAAACTTGTCCAGGTAAGGCCTGAAGATGCGGTGCATCTCAGTTTGGAAGGTGCCTGGGGCATTGCAAAGTCCAAATGGCATGACCAGGAACTCGTATGTCCCATACCTGCTCTTGAAGGCTGTCTTGTAGACATCCTCCTCTGCCATCTCAATCTGGTGGTAGCCAGACTTGAGGTCGACTTTGGTGAACACTGTGCAGCCCTGCACCATATCCAGGAGGTCATCGATCCTAGGAAGTGGCTCAGTACTCTTCCTAGTGATCTTATTGAGACCCCTGCAGTCAATGCACATCCTAAACTCACCGTTCCCTTTGGGCACAAAGAGAACAGGTGCACCAAATTCAGATGTGCTGGGTCTGATCCAACCTTTGCTGGTCGGGGTCTCAAGTTGCTTTCTGAGCTCCTCAAGCTCAGCAGGGGACATCCTGTAGATGCGGCCCTTGGGAGGGACCGCTCCAGGCAGCAGCTCGATGTGATGCTTGGTTGGCCGGTTGGGAAGTCCAAAGGGCTCCTGCATCAGATCAACATACTAATCTACCACCTGCGGTATCTTAGGAGGACAGGAAACAGGGGGAGCATCTGTTTGCTTGACCAGGGCGATAAATAGACGCTCATGGTGGTACTGGCGAGAGAGAGCATGAAACTCCCTCGCTCTCAGGCAGTAGCAAGAGGTCCTAGGGTGGTGATCAGCAACAATCATGCATTGCTGATACACCCCCTGGCTGTCTGGTAGTTCAACTCTAGGGATCTGCCAGTCGATCCTAGGGTTGACTACCCTCAACCACTGCATGGAGAACACCAAGTCAAAGGGAAGCTGAGGGAAGATATAAAAGTTCAGACTGTGTCTGACTTTTCCTGCAGTATCGAAGGTCACAGGGATGCCCTTGACCTTCTCCTTGATGCTGATCACTGTAGAGTCACCAATCCGCACTTGCAGCGGCTGCTGCAGCTGCTGAACTTTCATACCCAGATGCAGTTTTTTGACTGCATTGGGAGATATGAAGTTCCAGGTGGCTCCACAGTCCAAAAGCCCAGTGATCCTGGTGCGGTTGATCAGTGGCCGAAGCATGATGAGTTCAGACAGGCCCTTCTTCTTCTGCTCTTTCAAGTGGAAGAAGAAGGCAGCAATGGACTTAAGCTCATCCTGCCTCTAATCCTGATCCGGGTCAGGATCCTCATAGCAGAAGGATGCTGTCTGCGCAGTCCCCAAACACATATCATCACCAACAGTCTCAACTGAAACAGTTATAGATTCACCTACCTGAATAGATGAAGATGCAGCCCTGGAGGGAACTGCAGTCCCCAGGGTCTGTTTCAGGTTTTTGACTGACCCGGGCCTGGCATGTAAGGGCAGTCCTTTAAGAAGTGTTGTCCCTCACATCTCAGGCAGACCCCCTTCTCCTTTCTTCTTCTCCAGACTCCCTCCTGGATCTTGAGGTCATGCC